CATGTCATTCCCTTGAGTATTATTTCTTTGTATCTGGGTAACGAGAAGAGGAAAAGAATTTCAAAAACACTCCGGACATCTGAAAACACACCTATCGTACGTAAAACCACATGTCATTCCCTTGAGTATTATTTCTTTTTATCTGGATAACGCGAAAGGAAATGAATTCCAAACACACTCCTGACATCTGAAAACACACCTATCGTACGTTTAACCACATGTCATTCCCTTGAGTATTATTTCTTTTTATCTGGGTAACGCCATTAAGAAAGGATTCCAAAAACACTCTCGAGATTTCTATGGTGTGCGTAATACATTTGTGAAGGCTTAAAAACCACCTACTCGATCCACTCTCTCTAACAAGCTATTTATCATTTCCACTTCCAATCTCACCCACAAAAATAATCGTTAATTGACATTAAATTCTCGCCAAACCCGACATGGATAAATTATCATTAAAGTTCTCTTGTTCTGACTGAGACATTTGAGAAAATACACGACATCTACGCTAAGCTTGATTACGCATTGATGAAGTTCTGTGTATAATAGGTTTTAAGTGACCCTGTGTGGTCTGTCTGTCTATAATGCAAATGGACATTTACTCTTTCTTCTTGGGCTAAATTAGCTACAGAGTTTAATGTGGTTAAAATGACTTTGACTCACGAAGACCAATGATTTGAAAACTGGTTAAATATTGAAATCAATTTATAATAACAGTCTTTTTTTAAAGAAAATCGTAGCTAAGAAGTCTAGGTAAGTTGAGCATTTATTTTAAAGTGGAATTCGAATATGACAAGACCAGTCAACAATATTTACATAAGGAAATATCATGATTTAAAGGAAAAAGCGAAATAAAAAAGATATAACACAATATTGAAATAACGTGTGATAACTAGTTTTATAAAAATTATATTACAGCCACAAAATTAAATATAATAAAACAAAAACAACGAATAAAATTTTGTCAACTTGTGTATCTGATCTTAGATGTAAAAAGATCGACAAAAATTAGAATTCATTTTCAAATCGTGAATCATTCATCTTTAAAAAAGTGGTTTAAAATAATATTACAGGATACAGAAATCATAGTTAATAAAACTGCAAAACATTAATTAAATGTGTGTCATTTTTTGTGTGATTTAGTATGGAAAAAATATCAATATCAATTTGAATTTATTTTTAAACCTTGATTATGAATCTTGATCGCAATATATGGGAAATAACAATTAGGGAACTTCAATGTGTATGTTTTACAGCTTTTTACCTTGATGTTGGTGGTGTTTTTCTATGGATGATAGACTGTGATGATCCAGGATTGCACTCCTTGAGTCGATCATGGCTTCTTAAGGAAAGAGAGACAGAAAACAAACCATTATTTCATGGCTGCATTTCTAAGAAAATCTAAGAAAAGTTTTAGATATTTACCCTAACCATTCCTAAAAAAATATAATTTCCTAAATAATCGCGGAAGGAAAAATAACACTAACTCATAATATTCAATCACCTACTGAGGTAAGAGTGCCCTTTTCAAAGGCAAACCGTAACTATAGAACACCAAAACCAATGTAACACGACCGACACTCAAAACACTGGCAGTCACGTGACGTAGGATTTGCCGTTGGCATGGTAACGGTTCGTGAGGTTTGTTTAATGTTTTTATTTAATGGTTTGAGTGTTTTAGCATCTGCTTTCAGTGTTTTTGGATCTTTGAACAATCATTTATTAAAGAACATCACTGAAGGCGCCGGAAGAGTAAAATGAATGTAATTTGCTATGTATTTGAAAATGTGCATTTAAATTGTTCATTTAATTTTTATTTTAATTGTACATTTGTTGTATAAAAAAAGAAGGCTAAGAGAAAAAAAATTGAGAAGAAATCCCATATTTTCTCTGGAAAATGTGATTTTGGTTTGCATGTGACTACGGGTTTTCTCCTAATTTTCTTTTATTTCTCTATCTGCGAAAACCAGCACTTTCAAATTCCAAATTGATCGAGTAATGGGAATTGTAGGTCTGTTAGCCAAAGGGTATATTTAAAATGCTACCCCCATTAACAAGGACGATTTAACAAGGAACGACACATCGGGTTCAAAGGTCTCACTCGACGTCGCCTCTCTCTCTCTGTCTCATTCATTATTTCATTCGTTCATTCATTCATTTGTTCGTTCGTTCGTTCTCTCTCTCTCCATTGCTTGTAAACACGACTAACAGCATCTAAGATCAATGTTCCGTTTGTTTCGTGTGATCAAGCAACACTCAGACAAGGCCACCATCGTACAGTAAGGCAAAGGCCACCCATTGTACAGTGATTTGCCCATTAGCTTTAGTAACAAATCCTCAAATCTTAAGGCAGGAAATGAGCTAAGATCCGCTTATAACACAAGCCGGTGTTCTTGAAAGACTATTGAGGTATTATCAGGCAGCACGAGAAAAAAGATATAGCGATATTGGCAGAAGCTCATGTCTAGTGAATACAGATCTGATTCAAACGATGTAATGATASCTAACACTCTGTGTAAGGGGAGGGGAGGGTCAAGGCGTTAAACTCATAACGTAATAAGTGATGTGAATCAAAACTCACAAAGAACTCTGGGGAAAGCGAGTACTACAAAAAAGAAACAGGGAAATCAAAGGAACTATCAAAAACAAATAAGTCTAATATTTTCGTCTGTTGAAATACTTAACTTTCCACTTCAAAAATTGTCGAAGATGAATTTCTAGGAGCCGAAAAGCCGTAAGTACCCGGTTTCACACCATGCTTTGTGCCAGAGAATCGTACTCGTGCACATTGTTAATTATACTAAAAAGCTGTTTGGATGATGACGCATTTTACTACAATTACCAAAATGTTTCGCGAATTTCAAATTTGCATTTCCTCATGAGATGGTAATACAGTTATTGGTAATTAACTACAAAAGAAAGTGTGCAAGGGATTCTGGTAACTGTAGGAAATGAAATGACACTATCATGCAAATAGCCTATAGCCTACAAAGGTGATAGCTTAGTGAGATAAGAAAAATGGGAAAAGAAAGAAAGAGTAGTTGGGAGAAGTTACAAACAACATTCAGCTCACACGTTGAATTTTGACTTACATCACGTGATTTCAACCCCCTTAGCTGTCAATGAACGAGAATCTTTCTTATTATAATAAAAAAAACAATAATAATAATTTGATAATAATATATTATAATAAAAAATATATTCGTATATAGGCACCTTAGATCCACCATCGTTTTTATCTTTAATTGGAGTAAGCTTTAACGCCATCCATATCAGTTCCTCTTGCTCTGTAAAGCAGTACCTTAAAATGAAACTGCGTTCATTATCTAAATCGTTGAGAGTGCAATAGAAACAAAGCCTGAAAGCAAAGCAAGGAATGGAAGACAATAAGGCATGGTTTTCCAGATAAGATAGCTTCAAAATTCACATTAAAGTCTTATTTTCCTTTCGATATAATGGAAAAAACTGAACTAAAAGCAATTTCCAATAAAAACTTCTTCAGTCGTTTATCTAATGTTTCCACAGTCATGCGCATTACGAAAAAAGCGCGCGGTATCATGATATCGAAATGACGCTAATCAACTAAGTACATTTAATCTGTAAAAAGTGGGTTATTATGCATTAATTTTATCTAATACCTCTCTGCGTGAGTTGCAAATTAATGCTTTTCGAGTATCGTATATCCACAATAATGAAACGTTTTCTTTCTCCGGTTATATTTATAGCCATTTCTGTACTTCAAAATACGCAGTAAATCTTTTCTTTTCTTTTTTCCCCCTTTGTGTCTTTGCTTTTCAATCCTGGGATCCCTTTCCCAGCTTATTCCTTTTCTAACTTTTTATCGTTTTTGCCATAGCGCAACTGATATTTAAAAAAGTATACTTCAAAAAAAAGCATACTTCAAAATAACGTTGACGCAGAGTGATTTTATTTAACTTGTGAAACTTTTTCTTATGGTCAAGGTTAGTGTCCAATCCATTTAAATGAAAAGAAAAGAAACAAGTGGAATTTCGTGGCCAACTAATGTTAATGTCTATTCCATTCTAATAGAGTGCAAACCATATATCTGTGAAATAGTACTAACTAATAAGTACAAAATAGCATCAATGAAACAATTGAAAACAAAATAATTACACGTGCTATTTCACGGATATGATGATTTGCACGTTAGTTTACAAAATTTCTGACTAAAAATACACGGGTCCTAGAGTTAGATAATTGATGAACTTACGAGAATGTGATTCCTGGCCCAAGAAACAGGTCTGAATTACTTCACATTAATCATACGCAAGTATCCTTTACCAAGGCAAAATCGGACGGCGAAATAGCAATGAACATCGATCTGAAAAAACCGAAAACAGGAAACGAATAGATCAGAAATGGGTCAAGTTTGAATAATAACTAAGGAGAAACAGAATACATGTAGGTAAGCTGACAGTTGGTGACGTTATTGACCATGATGATCAGTTTTCATAAAAAAAAGTCCATTTTGTACCGAAAAATAAAACAGGTGGGCAAAGATGGCCCGCCATTTGGGAAATGAAAGACGAAACGTTTGAACACTTTTGAACGAAATGAGAGATTATTTTTCATTATAACTATCATTCACTACTGGTCAGCGTTCTCTGCCAGTCTCGTTACATCTGAAACTCCAAAAGTGGTTCTTTCTTAGCACCAATGCAGGTGATTTGTAAAATGTAACGCTAAGTATGAAAACTGATAAAGATCGATTATGAATATCAGTATCGCAATGTTTATTTTTCTGTGACTACATAGCCGCAATGTTGGTTGATTTTTGCAGTCCCACCTATATACCTTGTTTACTGACTTGCTACTTACAGTGGAAATAAGTTAATAGCATTTCTTACAGTATCCTCTATGAGGGGAACTCGGCTCTTACCCCATACTAATTATTTTTTTGCAATCATTCCAAAGATAGTCAAGACAAAAAGACATGGCGGCCATGTTGGATGAATTAATACCACCATATGGCGGTGATGACGTAACGTGTAAATGGAGAATTGCAAGCACCGTTATCACATTCCTCATATTCCTAGCTAGATCCCCCAACAAGGCCTCTAAGACTGTTATCAAATGTGTAGTTTACCTCAAACTGAGAAGCCTTTGGTTTTTCATTGTTTTTAGAGCTGTCCTCCATGTCGATGTCGCGTCACCATTCACTCCAGAGTACGGTATCAGCCATAAGTGTGCCTCTTCTAACTTTCTCTTATCTTCACGGTTGTAATCTTCCTTTTGTCCTCCCTGGTCTTTCACACTCTCAGAGTCGGCAAAAAAATGAAAACGGCGGACCATGACTCCGTTTTCTGATTTCTACCGCATCATGAACATTTCTACCGCCATTATAATCTATCCAATTTTCAAAGAAAAAATTCTTACAACTCCCTCCCACTAAAAATAACTACCTTCAAGGCCCCTAGAGTAAATGCCGAAGGTTTCTAAAGACTGGAGTAGTAAGTAACTGATTAGTTGTAGTATTGTTGAGTGAATACTTTAATTTGTGTCGGTTTTTCAAATAGACTTGTTTTCAGGTGAGGTTATTTTTAATCGATCGTTGACAAAATGTCAAACCTATACCAACTTGGTGTCGATCCTGTTGATAGATTAACAYTGAAAGGGCTTCCTGAAGCGATATTAATGATCATTTTTAAGTACTAATGAGTCTTCTGGTATAAATAAATGTATTTATCCTATGTTGGCTCATGACTGTATACTAAAATGAAATATAATAACTCGTTTATTCTGATAAATTATTGATGCTCAGTGCCAAAAATCAATCAACCTGTTCTATCTTATATTGATGGATTAGCACTGAGAGGGCTTTTCAAAACGATACTAATAATAGTTTATAAATTATCAACTTTGTTTAATAATAGTTTTTAGTTTTTATATTAAAATATTATAAGGTGCATATTTTGTTTCTGAGGCAGGCTTCCTTTGATCAAATATTCTTTTGTCAGAAATCACTCCTGAATGATAAGCACTGAAAGAACTTCCCAAAACGATACTAATAATAATTTATAAATAATAACCTATTTCTTTTATAACAGTTTAATTTTATAAGTTACACGTTTTCTGTTATATTGGCTAATTTTGCCGTGTATTGTCAGAAATTTATCCACCAGTTGTAACTCCTATTGATTAATTAGCACTGAGAGGGCTTTCCAAAACCGGCGATACTAATAATAACCATACATTATCAACTTTGTTTTGTTATAGTTTAATAACATAAGTTGTACGTTTTTTTATTTAGGGTTATTTTGATGAAAATATTGAGGTGTATTGTCAGAAATCAATCCACCTGTTATAACTCTCATTGATTAATTAGCACTGAGAGGGCTTCCCAAAACGATGCTAAAAATAATTTATAAATCATCAATCTATTTTACAGCACTTTAATATTATAACTGAGGTGGGATACGTTGCACGTTTTGTTTATGTTTTATTATGAGTTGTTTTGGGAAAAAAATGTATTGTCCGAAATCTATCCATCTGTTATAACTCCTATGTAATGTTTAATAAACGAGCAGGAGTGTTTTATCGGGTATAAAACACGAGGCGCAGCCGAGTGGTTTTAGACCCGATAAAACACGATCTGCGAGATTATTGAACGGCTTAGAAAACTTATGATGTTTGTTCTCATTGTGTACCGATTTTTTTACGAAATGAACCAAGTTTGATAGAGAAAATCCAAGTTAAAGTTTATGCAAATGAAGACGAATCTTTATCMGATATAAAATCACCTTCATGGTCATGATTTCTATTGTGTTTTCTTCATGAATTATTAATGAGTTTTCTAAAGATTGATTAGCACTGAGAGGGCTTCCTAAAACGTCAATGAAAAAACCTACGACATGCATTAGCAAACGAAAATAACTGTCCATTAATAATCGAAAATGAATAAAACATATTAAACGAATTTAATTAAATTATATACATTTACTCCTAAACAAATTTTTAAGTGAAAACATTCCTATCGTTAAAATTTAAGGGGCTTACTTTTAGGAATTGATTTACAAATTCGTATTTTTTTAAACTCCACTTGCGAAATTAGGTATCTGTTTACAAATGTATAAAATTGTTCAAATCTCATATATGCATGTCAAATAGTAAGAATTTTAACTGTTTTATTCAAAATTGAACAGAAGAATTAACAGAAAAATATATTACAATACTTTGAATTTATTTTTATTTATTTCATTTAAGTTTTACTTCAATATGAATTTTGAGTTGATAGCTTTTAGGTGCCCGTGGCTTGATACAATTTTAGATGATAAATCTTTCAGCATTATCCATTAAAGTGTATATTTTCTATTAAGAGTCTTGCCGCGCTTATGAATATTAATACCGCGTCTAAGATGGTCTACTGAAATGGTGCTCGATTTTAAAAGCAATTTCCTGTTTTTAAAGGCATAAAAATCGAGACACTACTCATTCAAATGCTTGGGAATATTTTCATACTGGCACCGTTTTTGAATCATAGTTTTTCAAAACACAGAATCGTATCATAGTATGTATTTGTTGTAGCATTGTTCCGCCTTTTAAATCGACCAGCTGACGTCATTGTCTAAAAATAATAATCTCGTTCAAGATTTTAGTCCTGTGTGGACGTTGAAGGCCGAACGATTTTCAGAGCATCTCTCAACCATACTGTTTCTGTTTCTACGACAATAAACTTTTTCTTCAACTCTGTATAATCTCTAGATTGTTGTTCCAGGCGATTTTTAAGGTGTGCATTATCCTGGCAGGTTGCTAAGATAACATCTTTTAATTCTGCATTCTTTTCTTTGTAATTCTGGATTTCAATATTTTGACTTTCATAATCGTTCCTAACATCCTCGAGTTCTTTTTCCTTGGTCGTTAAAAGTTCTTGCAGTGCTGAAAACCTCTCTTGAAAACTGATATGTTCTCTGTACACTTCGTTCAGCTCGCTCGATAAGACTAGAATCTGTTTTTCGTTTTCTAGATTCAATATTTCATTAGTTTTTATTTTGCTACGAATGGTATCACTATTCAAGCTGTCATCAAGTTCGCAGCTTCTTGCTCGATTATATCTTTTCCCACAATCGCAGGATTCATCCTCAAGTTCACTAACCCGATGACTTAGTACTTCATTGCTTTTTTTCGTTTCCATTAATTTTTCATTCAACTCTTTAATTTCGTTTTCGTAAGACTCCGTCTCATCCTCCAAAATGTTCCTTGAAGTATCCCGCCTTACAGCATTTTCTTGCGCAATTCTCTTCCACATTTCCAACTCATCCAATATATCCATAACTCTATCATCTGTAACACTTTCCTTATTCCGAAGCTTGGCATTCTCAGCCACTGTTCTCTCTAACATGACCTTTAGATGTCCGATTTCCTCTTTCGCGTTTTCGTATTTATCTGTCAGTTCTCTGAAATTATTCTCCAGATCTTCAATTTTCCAGACCGCTTCCCCTCCTAGTACTTGGTTTCTTTCCCTTAGATCCGCAATCTCTTGTTCAAGAAGTTCTCGCTCACTACAAAATTCATCTTCGGTCCCTAATCTTTCAAACAACTCGTCCTCTAGTTTTGTTTTGATCTCTTCGACCTCCAGTTTCTTCGCTTCTAATTCTTTCCGCGTCGCGTTCAATTCAGATTCCAATTCATTTAATTCCACCATCTCGCCACAGTTCCTACAGTATGTTTTTAACGGGGTTAAGTCTGCAATTTCATTCGATATCACCGGCGTGTTTTCTTCGCTCTTCAGATCATTGAACTCGTTATTTTTCTCTTCGGTGGTTAAAAACCCTTCGGCTTGTGGTCTGTATTTTAGCCGGCTCATTATCTGTCTTGGTAGGGCTGATGGCTCGATGTTCCTCATCAGCGATCTTAAACTCGCCATTCTCTAGTTTTAACTCCTTCATTGGCGCAACTCGGTCGGGTGTCGTAACTCGGACACGTTCGTGGAACAAGTTCTCTTCAGATGGACTGGAAAGCTTAATTACAATGCGTTTCATCGCTAAAAGTCACTTTTTGTTTGAACGCATAATTTGGTTTGTTGATAAATACTCGACTCACGGTCTTTTGTTGGAGCAAGAACTGGTAAGGAGTCAAGTATCGTTGCTAGGATACTGTTGATAGAAACAGACTTAATCACCGGATGATGATGAGAGTTCTGCCAAACAGACAATGGTTTTGAAAGAAAATAGATGATGATCTACTCAAAGAAATATGATGGATTATTTCTAGCCCCTTTGGACTGAAAATACAAAAGGAATTTTGAGAAGATTTTGAGTACTGAAAACCTCATTTCATTTTTTATATATAAGAAATTCTGAAATGGATAAAAATTATTCAGGAAAAAAGTCTATCTTCCTCAAGCTACATTTATAATTTGTGAAAAAATTATTAAACCAAAATGATTCAAAATTTATCAAAATAAAAATAAAACTTTTTGCATCGACTGCATCGTGGTGTTTTGTGATCATTAAATTTAAATTCATCTATTTCATACTTTTTTTAATCCTTAAAAAAAATTATTTTATGACCAGTTAAAATTTAACGGATTTTTAAGTGAAATATATAAAGAAGATTTAGGTTTATGGAAGGTAAAAATACAGTTATCATTTTTATATTTTTTTATAAAACAAACAAGTAGATAGAGCAATCAAGCAATAATTAAGATCGATCAAGATTACATTTTTCACAAAATTAAATATTTTTAAAATATAACTGTTAAACATTTTACCTGTTTTCCTTAGCAATACTTAGCTAAAAAATACAATTAGTGTGGAGTGTTTGTTCGATGCAAATAACTACCCCCTTAGTCCTTCGCCCCTTGGACTGTCACAATATAAAATATTGGCACTTTGGACAACAATGACCACAATTCAATGTACTCTATCTGCTACCTACAGCTGTAGCTAGCTACATAGTGTTGCTAGGTATAACAATACCTAATAACCTACCTAATATAGGCAATTTTTAGAAGTACTTGATAATTATAAATGATTTATGAGTTAGCTGTGCCCTGACTTTAATCACCCTGAGGTATATCTAAGGGAATTGATAAAATTTGAGTGACTTTATTTGGCTGGAATTTTTAGTGAATTTTAGTACCATAATTTAATATGAGAGCAAGTACTTCAAACCTTTGGTTACATTAAAGGACACACACTAGCCTGCTCTGCAGCCATTTTTACACAATGTGTAGTTTCAGAAAATATCCATACCCCCACCACAGAGGGAATTTGTAAAACGACTCGCCTACCCCCAGGAATTTCCAAATTTCCTCCATGGGTGGGTATGGATATTTTCTGGAACTACACAATGCTCCTTTCTGCCGCTGCTTTTAGTGTCAACATCCAACGATCCTTCCTGGGGAGGGGGAAGCTTTGCATTATGACACCAAAAATGGCTGCTGTCTGGAGACTTACACAGATGTAAAGCTATGCTGAAATCTCAGAAACACTAAAATGCGTATCAGTTAACAAATAATTGACATCAATCAACGTATTACTTTCACCTTGTTTGCATTGTGGAGGAAGGACAGACAATTCAAACTGCCTTTCACCAGATCTGAAGTCCTTTCTTGACTTTATTCTCAGTATGTAATCTATCCATCTTTCATACAGATTTTGTCTTGGGATTGGAATGGTGCTGGTTTCTATGGTGATGGATATTACTAGCATACTATTGGTCATAATTGCATCTTCCTTTTTCCTGTTACAAAGGGCAAAAAGAATTGGTTTTAGCAAATGACTATGAAGATGTATCTTTTTAAACTAGCATTTAATTTGTAATTAGCTATTATATATTAGGTTTTTTTTTCTTCTCTCTCCTCTCCATTTTATTTAACAGTGCTTTGAGCTGATTTGTATAAGCCCTATACAAATACTAAATATTATTATTATCATCATCTAGGAAGTAATACTCCAGTTTGGAGTTCTCTTTGCTCAGCCTTAGTCTTGGTTGTGCATAAACTTATTCAGCCATTCAACCAAAACCTGCAGAAATTTAATCAACTCGTATTGTTCCACAGTGTGTACATTCTATACTAAAAGTGGGCCTTGATATAAGAAAAGAACACATTTGTACACAATTGAACTTGAAATGGGAGTATTACTCAGTTTTCCAAATCTAACATTGACATTAAGAGAGAGTCACTGGACTGGCAGGGTAGGGAAATTTTTTAATATTTGAATGATTAGAACAATGAATAGAACTTTTCAGATGCAAGGGGATTTTCTGTTATACCAGCAACAACATAGAATATAACAAACAATATTAGAATGCCATGAAATTTCTTGTCATATACCTGTCAAAAATAATGCTTAATTATAAAAATAAAAATAAAAACTAGAATTTTGCAAGGGCCCCCTTGCCCACTTTCCCTATGCTACCTGTGACTCATTATGAAAATGATAGATGCCAGATTGCACGACTTAGGTAGCACTGATAATTTATGGGGAGGGGGGAGGGGCTACTGGGATTTTCTGAGTTCAATAAACCAGACACATTATGGTCTAGCTTTGGTACAAACAGCACCATATAAGGCATAATGGATGAAAGATGTTTGTACCCAAGCTAGACCATAATGCAACATGTTTGCTCAGTAAAGGTCTATTGGTTGTCTAAAGACTTTATTCTCTAGAGTATTATTTCTTTGTTCAATGGTATATATGCACAAGAATGTGGATACTTGTAACTCAACTCAAAGAATCTTTGAGAATTGTATTTTCTTCTAAATGGGAAAGCATTTTCCCCCAAGCTAAAGACTTTCTTCTATATAGTATTATTTCTTTGTTTAATGGAATATGCACAAGAATGTGAATACTTGTAACTTGACTCAAAGAATCTTTGAGAATTGTATTTTTTTCTAAATGGGAAAGCATTATCCCACAAGCTAAAGGTGTACTGCTTGGGAATCATACCGAAGCTAATTTAGCAATTTCCTTATGTACATGAAAAGGGTTGAAACCCACTTAAAGCATCAGCATAAGTATGTTTTAGTATGTACATTAACTGAGCTTAATACTATGTGTCGAAGAAATTTATGTCATTTTACTTACAGTTTTTCCAGTTCAAAGTTGAAAGCATCAACAGTAAACGCCAAAAGTCTTGCCATTACAGTCAAATCCTCGTTCTTGGCAGCTCCAGTAACGTAACTGTCCAAACCATCCACTATCAGACAATGAAATACCACATCAAGATTACAATGAATAGAGGCCATATACTTCAGAAACTCCTCTCTTGTCTCCAAATAAACCATATGTATTTTACGTAGAATACTCGTAGAAGGCTTCTGTTCTCCTTCTGGAAGAATTGGCAGTGTTGAAACCTTCTTTGGGCAGATAAATAAGACGTTTTTTCCCTCCTCTGAGAAAGTCATAGCAAGAGAAAAGAGTAAGGATGTCTTGCCACATCCATGGGGTCCTACAAGTATCATCTTTTGCGGCTCCGTACGAGTCGCATTTCTATCAAGAAACGTAGTTAGGACATGCTGAAACTCTTCTCTTGAAGACACGGTAGGTTTTGGATCTGGTATTCGAAATATTCGAGAAAGCATCAAGAAATATGTAAAACGTACTCGACTTTGAAAAAGTTTTTTTCCAAATATAAGCGTTGTCAACCAGGCATTCCAGTACAGAAGAGAAAGACTGGAATTGAAATTAATTTTCGCGCCATTGAAAAAGGCGGGAAAACACCGAAGCGCGCACGTGTACCGTGTACCATGTCACAGAAGTGAAATTCGGGAAAAAATCATAATTAATTTACGAAAATGAATGAAAATTGAATAAAATAAAAAATGGAAATAGAAAGAAAGAAAGAAAGGTATGGATTATTTGGGATTCGAATCTTAATGAAGGACCAATGATGATCGCTTACCAAGTTGAGACTACTGACTTAAATAAAATGGAAGAAAATGAAATTTTAGGGAATTTTAGATCTTTACTTCGGGGCCCAGTTGTACGGAGGGTGGATAGCACTATTCAAGAGATAAGCTATACTTATCCAGTCGATGCTGTTATCCTATGTACTAATTGACTGAGTGGGAGGGCCGTACGGGAAAATATTTGGCTCGAGGTGATGCCGTACAAATGACCGAGAGCCAAATATTTTCCCGTACGGCCCGACCTAACTCAGTCAATAAGCATTTTATCATTTGACCCTCACGAAAAGAAAAATAATAAAAGAAAAGTAAGAATACGGTCGCTGAGGTTTCGAGCAGGGTCGTACGGATTCGTACGGCCCTGCTCACGCCACTGATTTTCCCGAAGGGTTTTTAAAGAGCGCGCACCCGGGCAGATGCGGGTCATATGATAAAATAAATTTATCTACTGGATAAGACTTATTCGTCAAATAGCGCTATCCACCCTTCGTCAACCGGACCCTAGCCGGTAAATAACCTTTACTGAATGGGTCAATATTTATTTATTCCGACCAAGTTCAAGACGCCTACCATTCTCCAAACTGGCGATCAAGTTTTTTCAAAAACTGAACAAATTTCAATCAAAGGAAACCTTTAGGCCTCCAACCAACAATTCAAGCTATGATTTGGTGCTAACTGATAAAGTGTGTCAACTGAGGTCAAATTTGAAGGAAGGCCAATGTCATTCAAATCCACCACGTGGTTGGTCAAATCACAGTGAGCTCCCCTCACAAACTTGATAGGTGTGCGGATTGCAGAAGAAAATAGGCTTTGTCAAACTAGAACTATAGTAGCTTTATATAAACCGCCTATAGACCCCATAGAATAGAGAAAAGGAAGCCACATTTCACGCGGGGTAAAAAAAATGTAATCATGATGTCATAGATAACTTGGACTCTCCGAGGACTTTTTACAATGATAAGAGCTAAAGTTTTTTGAAAGAACTTTATCCTTATCATTGGGAACCATTAGTAAACTGCATAACGAAGTAAGCCGACTATTTCCAAGCCAAATCAATCCAGACTATGGCTGGCTAAACAAATATTTTAATCTTCTTAATTGCCAAAAGTTTCCGTCAGTACCGATTGAAAGTAAAGCTATACACTTGGCGGCAAGCTGTTTTTACGGCTCAACCGCTGATATTCCCCCAGGCAGGATCCCAAATTGATCGTTCAGCTTCCTGTCGCTGTTTCCGTGCGACCCGCTGAAAAGAAACTAGCATGAACTATTTCACGCTTTCTTCTGCCGCCATAGATTATTAAAAGCAGATGCTGCTCATATTGTTTCCTTCATGGGCGGTACGCAATTTTCCCGTTATCAGTCAGTGCTGCTAAATGGTTCCCTCACTCAACTCTACCCACGTTAAACTGTTTTCGCAGTTAACATTAATCAACTGCTGGTCAGGCATATTCCCTAATAAGCGGATTTAGATTGTGTTTTACGTTTCCTTTCGTTCGTTTGTCTGTTCTCTCATTACGACTAATTCGGCTCAGTGGTTTCCGTGAGGCCGGCAAAGCACATGAACCCATGAGCGTGGGTGAACACATCGTTTGTTCAATTAGGGGAAATTCAGACTGTTTTCTGCACTGACTGTAAACAGTACATTGTTTCCATGGCGGGTATTGGATCGAATAATTGCAATTGCTTTTAGGTGATCCTCATAAGATATAAGACAACAAAAAATCCCAAGTAAAATAGAAATTTTGAAATGACAAAGTTTACCCTTAGCTTACATATTTCATAAGAACATGCGTAATAAGTAAATTACGAGCCTTAGATGAAACGACTGAAGAAGAGTGCCATACAAGCCTTTCACAACTTCAAGTCGCGTAAAAAATATTATACATATTCCATATATGCTTCAGTTAATACTCCAGGCAAATGCGGTTAGTTAAAAAAAAACAAAGGCAAACAATAATCCTATACTGTTAACAATATTTTATTATTGTTTTTTAGTTTAAAATTTCTGCGATTCTTTGTATTTTTTACGCTTAAGTTTTTTATATTTTTGTTGATACTATTTACAATTATCAATTATCAATAACATCCTAATATTTTGTATGGCAGCATAACATAACTTGCGACTTTTACATCACATTCTTAATATATTCCTTTCAATAAAAAGAAACTGTTGGAAAATTATAAATATCACATTCTTTCACTGTACACATGCCAGTCTTCCACTGTGTATAAATACTGTTCGTTTATGTAAGATGTGATTTTGCGGGAGGATGCAGTTTTGAAACGACAACCAGATTAATTATAAAACATGTAGAAATTATTTTATAAGTTAAAAATTTGTCTTGATGTTATTTATATAAATTGTTTGTATAAATAGAGTGAGCATTCGGCCCATACACTTTGTGTGTATATGTCTTACAGTTCAGTAATATCGCCATTAATTCTATAGTCATTTATATAACGAATAGCCTTTTTACGAGCAGTTCAGTTCTAAGTTCATCGTCTTCTTAGTCTAGCTCTTGGCGGGAATTTTTTCATTGTTTCTATGGCAACTTTTGCATTGATTCCTTGAAGGTCAGACTTGGGGCGATTTATCTTTCTTCATCGCAACACGCTTCGTCGCTATTAATAAGGAAATCTCAGCCTTAGCTCTACCATTACGTGTTGATAAGGTGACATGTAAGATTCCATAAGTACACCAGACCTCCAATGAACGAAAATACTGTGGCAAGTGATGACATCCCATGGAACATTGCAAACTTGTGTGTGAGAGCTTTGTATTTCGGGTTGGCCAGCAGCTCTTTGTCCTTGATTGGTCCAATCTCGTTACCGAAGCCTCTCTCTTTTTCAAAGGCAAATCGATCCATCCATAATCGTGTGGCGTTGGGCTCGAAATAAAATGAGTTCAATATCCCACATAAAAGTGAGACCAGAAGACCAGAAACATGCTGTAAAATAATAATAAAACTTGTTGAGTGTTATGATTTTTAACGAGTAAACAAATTCATGTGGATACTGAGACCACATAGGACGAGAAAGTATTTTTTTACGATCAAACTGGGCTACATGCAGGTCAAGTTCAATGCTAGATTTTTGATTGAAGGGAGGATAAACAACCGTTCGCTATGCCGCGACCAACCCAGGCAAAAAAGCCAGGGGGTCCAGGGGGTTCCGCCACTTTGAACCTATGATTTAATGAATATTAAAAATAGAGTATCCCTTCTTCCCTAGACTTGTAAACGTATTCCAATTTAATATAAACGAGGTACCAACCTGGAATTCTTCAATTCGCGTCTTTTTTTCTTTGAGTTGAAGTACCGCCCCATTAGTCAAGAGAGCAATGACAGTCAGACTTGTACCAATCCTGAAGTACATTGGCCACAGTTTTGATTGGATGTGTCCAAACACGTGACGCGGCATGTTGAAATACATCGTTATGCCTGTTGAAACGAAAAACGGAAACCAAACCGATTAACCAAAGTTTTATCAAACTCCAAAGCATTGCTAAAGTTTTTCAGAAAGCGAAAACTTCTTGGAAACAATTCCTTTCCTAGTAACCGTGCCAGCACTTGGCTTTGCCCGACACTGCACGCATTTACGTTTCAGATTTCCTCTTTTTCGTGAAAAAAAGCCGCCCTCATAATCATAATCTATTATATTCAGATTAAAAATAAATGTCATTACTTACCGGCAACAAATATGACCCAAGCTTGGATGCCAATCCAAGAGCTAATGGCTAGTGAATGAAGGTACACTTGAATCGTCTGGTTGATGGTACCTTTTTGAAACAGTAACTTTACTTTATCCGAGAAGCACGCCATGACCAGCACGAGAACACAGCAGAACACTTTTTGTCCAAATAAAGAAGTCATATTTTTGGTCTTCGTCGCAGCCGCTTTTTTGTTCTTTAGTTTGTTCTTCACAGTCTGTTGGAAATACTGGTGTTGGAAGGTCCAGCGAACTCTATATATAAAGCCAGACGACCACGTGGGCACTGATAACATGAGCTGTGCATGCTTAAAAAAACACTTGAACAAGATGTTAAAGATCAAAAACGATGATGTAACAAGAGCACTCAGTCATATCCGTGATCGGATTAACAATATTTTACGCAACCAGACAAACCTAGACGAACACAAACTTAACGTTTCTCGGGAATAAAAATATACAAAATTACAAATAATTCCCAAAACTGACAATTGTCAATAATCAACAATGTCTGTGTCGTCTTGAGTTTTAAAATATCTACGAACTATCTATGAATAGTTGACGTGTTGGGTAACGTGGCGAGAGGAGTGCTGTGCAAGGGCATGAGATTACGCACGATTTCGTATTTGCAAGCAAAACTGTCAGTTTTGCTTGCAAATACGAAATCGTGCGTAATCTCATGCCCTTGCACAGCACTCCTCTCGCCACGTTACCCAACACGTCAACTATTCATAGATAGTTCGTAGATATTTTAAAACTCAAGACGACACAGACATTGTTGATTATTGACAATTGTCAGTTTTGGGAATTATTTGTAATTTTGTATATTTTTATTCCCGAGAAACGTTAAGTTTGTGTTCGTCTAGGTTTGTCTGGTTGCGTAAAATATTGTTAATCCGATCACGGATATGACTGAGTGCTCTTGTTACATCATCGTCTTTGATCTAAAACATCTTGTTCAAGTGTTTTTTTAAGCATGCACAGCTCAAGTTATCAAGTTATTAAGTTATTAAGTTCTTTCCAACGTCACAATTTTTGGCGGACTTCGCTATTTATAAAAAATGCTAAGAAAATAGGCTAATTGAAGATTTCATATTCCTAACTTCAATACTCTTATTTCATCAGTGTCGTTCATGGAGATTTACGATACCGCTTGTTTTTCGCAACTACTTCGAGATTATACGATTTTATTGCCCAAGAACACAAATGAATCATTATACGAACGCAAAATCCGCAACATCGACACAACAAAGGATAGTTTTCAACCCAACGCCGGATAGCGATCTTGAATTTTCGAAACTCTAACAACTCCCTTCGTCGGCAAAGAAAATATTTTGAAAAGACACTTGTTTTTGTTGTCATTTCCTTTTCACGAAGAAGGTTAAATATCTTAACCGGATTTGCAAGGGCCAATGTGGCTTGAATAAAAGTCTTTTGATTCCAGTATTTGTTACGCACAGAATTAAGGACTTGGATTTCGATAACATCTTTGAAATAACGTTTCGTGGATTCTTCAAGAGTTTCAGTAGATGAATGCATTAACATCTATGTGCATTGTCTGATGTGTGAATTATTGAACGTATCTTTTTACTTGTAATTTTATTTACCAATTTCCAACTTCAGTTTCTGTGGGACTTGTTTGTTTATTTATCATCTTTCATTTGTTAATATCTTTGATTATTTTCCATTAATTCTGTTTGTTTGCCAAGTTTATTCCTTTATCCCTCCTTCATCCTTTCCTTTTAATTTCAATATCGTTCTTCGACGCTTAATGGTTGGTTGTTGTTCTGTTTCCTTCCAAAAGAAACATTTACTGATTCCTTCTTATCTCCTTTTTCTTTCCTTTCATCTTTTTTTCTTTCCTTCCCACCTTTTTCCCTTTCTTCCTTCTTTCTTTTCTCCCTCCCATCCTCTTTTATACTTATCTTTTTCTGCGTTATCGAATATCATCATTACTTTTTCTTCACAAGCTTAAGACTTATGGAAATTCTTTCCTTAGCTTGGGCAACGAGTGGCCAACTCATTTCCCAGTGGTTTTATCTAAACAGACTAACCCAACCAAGCTAACAATGATCAGTTAATTCAATGAGCAAATGGTCGTTCAGCTCTCTCTAATTGACAGAAGAGTAAGTTTATTGCAAGGTACAAAGTGCAAAGAACATAGGGCAATATTAAAGTAGCTTAAAGTGTTTAGAAAAGACGCATTTCAAAAGTCAGCCTCAGGGCTCATGTGCCGAGAAAGTTGTATAGCAGATTAACGTGAAATACGGAAACGCTGTTACCATTTCTCGGAAAATCTGAAAACCTACGCAATTTATATCCTCATTCGGTTAAAAAAAATCTGCTAATTATCGATATTTTTCATAAAATGCAAAATATATTCAGCCGGGAACTCATTGACCTTAGAAGTGCTCTGATACCACACTTGGTGACACCCAAGAAACCAACTCTTTTCAAAGAAAAACAATTCCAAGTTCAAGTCTATAAATCATTAAGTCACACGCTGTTTCGTTATTACAGATGAACTTTTCTTTATGGAAGATTTCAAATTTAGCTTTAATTTTTTAGGTTTTTTTTAGGAAGAAGTAAGTCCGAACTTTGATAAAACTGCTAAAAAACCGATTTCAGTGTAAAAGTCTTGCTTGCAAACGTCTGAATTCCAGATTGGGTTCATTGCGGTCATTGTTGTGTCATACGATGTCTTTGCCGCCTACATAACTTATTTTTAACTTGCCCGAAGACACACACACACACACGCACACACACACACACATATATACATACATATATATTATTCTGCTCTACTTCTATCGATGTATTGAGCACTATTTTACGGAAAATTGATTCACAGATTTCTTACATACATATATATATATATATAGCGCAAGGCCAATATAATATATACAGCGATAATGGAGACATATATACCCTTCATACTAATTGATGATTACTTGTGTTCAAGTCCTGCTCAAGTGCATACTGATTACTGTGATTTTTTATTTCACAATTAGTCGTTGAGGCGGCAAATATCTTCAATCCAAGTATCTTAGACATGCATTCGTAAAGCATTTTGAGGCCTCGTGATTTTGCTCATGAATCTAACAGGAAGGGCACATTTTGATTCAAACTAAGGCATTACACTTGTCGACATTCTCTGGCTGTTATGGCCGATGCAATCTGAAGTTCACTGCACGGCAGTGAGATTAATGTTAACAAAGTTGAGATTTTAAATATTTTATGCCATATAGACATAGTGCTTATAATACCACTGATTTGTTGCAAGTATTCATTTAGTCGATTAAGATAAGATTTTTACGATTTTTTTAAAAACCTTGATAAGAATTATAAAACTATTAATGATGGATGCATGGGTGGTTGATAAGTGTTTGCTGGAACAAGTGGTCTGCCTTGAGGTAAACCAAGATAAGACAGCCAAATGTCCTAGGATTAATTTATAACTTCATTTGACTTCAATACTTGCTAACAGGATATTTATCAAGCCTGATAAAAATGAATTTATCAAACTAAAGACAATAAAAAATGTCTGAAGACTTACACATCCTTTATCGGTTGGCTATGAGCCATCGAAGAGGTGTGCAAAGATTGGAACTGTGTTTTTTTTTTCTTAGTTTGCCAAAACTTTTGAGGCCAATGAAAAGGAAGTATTTATACCAAGTGTTGTGCGATTAATTGAAAGATATACCCTTATATGAATATCATGTTACAGATTTTGGTATACAAGGTTCGTTGGCTTGCAGTGCACATGCAGTACTGCACGCCCCTCTTGTGTTGGGCTTCTCTAGATCTTTAGGTTACTGAAATCATATACCCGCTTATGACCCTTTTTCTCGCGAGGAATCAGCATTTATGAGCCTTAACAAACTAAGCTACTTAATTAAGTAAGTTTCTATGAAATTCTCACGACAAACATTTGAGACGAGTTTTTTTCAAGATAGCAAACATGCTCAAATATTTTATTTTAAAAAAGTTGCGAAAACTTCTTCTTTTGAGCTCAGTCGCGTCCAAGGACAATCAGAATATAAATTGTACGTATGTAAAATCAGTATATTGATAAAATATATATTGTATTATTTTCTTCAGTATAGAAATTTTAAGAACCTTTTCCTTTGTCAAATGGATTCATTTACGTTTTGGCTAACGGGCTTTGAATAGCGGAATGAAGTCTGTGTTGGAAGTGAATCGTAAAAAGCGCAGCCGGGAAAATTCCATCAAAACGCAGTCTAAGATTAGGTCTATAAAAAATGAGTTATTCTCGACAAAACAAGTTCACTGTCTTTCACTAGACAATTCTGATTTATACGCTTTCAAGTACTTTCTATGATAAAAAGGCTTTTTCCTTTTGCGCGCGTTGCTAAGGGTCTTGTACAAGCATATCGATTGTATGAATACAACTGTATAGGACCAGAGATTTGGTGTCGGTGCTGACATGTCAAGCAAACAGTTTAAATTTATATATTATATATTACATGATATAGATATTTGTTACGTTCGTGAGACAAGTTTTGCTTGTACGAGCCGGTTTGAGCAGTTCTATTGAGGGCAAAATTGCGCTGAGTATAACAACCCCGTAAAACGTGTCTGGGAAAGCTATTGCACTGCACAAGTTACAGTATTGCATTCTCTAGAGCAAGCATTTTGTATGGATATCAATCTGTAGAATTTGAGAGATGTTGTCTAAAATGCTGTCTGTACATCCAACGAATTCGGGAATGCTAGTAATGCCTAGCCTAGTCAAGACAAACTGAAAAAGTATGTTCTGTACTTTCTACAGTGAAGGCGTCTTATTTGGGGTACCAGAATATATCTTTTCAAAATTTAAGGCTCAGATACTTTAATAGGGATACACCCAATTGATCCTATAATTACTCAAGAATCCATAACAAAAAAACTGGTTTATCAGGTTATAGGGAATCACTTAAAAAAAGGAATTTTCTTTCTGATCATGAGCCGTGTAGAAGAGTAATGCTCTTATTATTAGCATTTACTTTGAATGCTTTGGTGTTGGATGTAATGCGGAGCTAAGCCAATGAATGCAATATCTTAATTATTAAATACAGTATGATAGACAATATATAGGTCCCTATTTGAGTCTACAAAACTTGATGTTGCCTGGTCCAGCTCTAGCACCACCTAAAGTCGTTTGATCACCATAAATTCCTTATATGGTAATTTTTTTTACCTAAAATTGATTCGATTCCCTTTGTTTGTCGAGTTAAGGCAGTGAGGACACGCGAACGGCGTCGTTTTTGAAAAAAGATCACTCGCGGTGTATTTAAACTCAATGTTTTATTCAGTTTAGAGGGTTTGCAACAGTACTGAATTTCAGGATATATAGCCTAAAAAATCTCAAGGTGTTCGCAGTTTGATCAAGTGTCTTCACTGTAGTGAAAGTCATGTGCCAATGGCGAGAGTCCTAGAAGGTTTTAAGTAGTGTTATTATGATATTCTGGTATGATAATCGTTCTCATAAAACATTTCTATAGTAATGTTATTCGATCTGAATAAAACTGACATACTTAAAAAGTTTAAAGATTTTTTCAAGAGGATGAACTCACAAGCAAAAAAGAAATAAAAAATAGAGCAAATAAACTATCAGCAAGCGTTGCAAAACACACACATACTTTYGAGTAATACTTTTCAATACAGTGTTATTTTAGTCACTCAGTGCACGTGTAGTCAACGTGCCACAAGTTGCCGATCGAGTTAAAGCACGATTCATTTTTATACAACGAGGCTTTAATTGAAGCAACGACGGACATCCGACAATTTTCAGTTATGGTTTTGTATGTATTTGTTTGAGCCATGGGCCCACTAATGCGTAGTCGACAGGCCGCCGGAAGGGAGCAAGTTATTGCTGGACATGGAATTGTTTTTAATGTTATGAACGTCAATAGAGACTTGAAGTTAATTATAAAATATATTAACCATATGTTTTGGACCGGACAAAGTCCCTTTGATCGAAGTATGTGACTTTATTTGCTTTCCTATCGGAGTCTATTAAAACAAAGCGGAAGCAAAAACGTTAATCATGCTCAAGGAAGGATGAAATAGGAAGTTGTCACTACCGATCGATACGGTTCTCCGAAGCCATATACGTGTAAAAGTGCACACCTATCTAATATTTATATATAGTTTTTTTTTATCGATTTGCCTCAAACAGTTTTCCTGTTCCTTCTTTTGTAAGTATTACTGAAATAACAATGATTTTTTGGGGTTCGGACTGCATGGGTAGGGCGGAGGCCATTCATCTGCATCGATAGGGCGGAGGGAGGCCATTAAACTGCATCGATAAGGTGGAGGAAAATGCTGAATTGTATGGGTATGGTAAAGTGAGACCATTCAACTGCATGAGTAGGGTGAAGGGAGACGCTGAACTGCATGGGTAGGTTGGAGGACGACCATTAAACTGTATGGTAAGGTGAAGGGAGACAAAAAGACATAAAGAGGCATTTTAATGTTCCTTTAAAATATCTTAGTCATTTCCTACCACATACAAGATTTTCTTAAATCCGTGACCCTTAACTATTATGATTAGAATCTAATTTGTCCCCCTGCTTAGATATGTGGATGAAAACATAAATATCAAAATCCTGCACTACAGCACGTAATAAATATGAGAAAACGCCTCCGCAACACTTCCCCTATAGTATTCTCGCATCAAGTGCAGTTGTTTTTCTAGTTCACCAACATGTTTCCGGTTTTGTTATACCAGTCATCATGGCGGCGCTATGTTTTTGGTATTTTAGTTCTGCAAAAGGACTGAATACTGAGAATAATTGCAAACCGCATACACATCGAATCACTGACTTGAACCATGAAAAGAGTGACCGCGAATTTGCGGTCTTGCGCTTCCTCTGTCAGTCCGAAAAAATACTATACTATCTGGCTATAAAAAAATGAAGCATTAGTACAGCGGTAAATAAATGTGGCGGCCGTGTTCTAGGGCGTAATACAATGGGAGAATAGCAGAGACCATGGAGGGGTGGGGTGCGGTGACTTAAGCCGTACGGCTTCACTGGCCGTTACGTTACTTTTACGTTCACCCATTTTCGTCACTCAGTAATCTAACGTAATTTTCACGAGCCTCTCTCTCAAATGACTCACTTGACGGAAAGGAAAAAGGAAATCTCCATAAAGGGGTCGAAATGGAAATAGTTTCGCAGTATTAAAGTTACTTGTTGTGGACGCACTTTTAGTCCGTGCATGCTTCAGAAGGAGTACAACGTCACGGAAACACTTACTGTACGCAACACGACTAGGATCAAAAAAGATCAACAGAACTCTTGTAGTTAAACACACTGACGGTTTACTTTGGTTAAGTACGATACTAATGAAATGTTAAGTACTCAGATTAATCCTTGTACTTAAAGTCTGAGTTGTATGTGATCCGCCCTTAGCCTTTGCTTGATGCGTGTTATACGCGATAAGGAAGGGCGGATCGCATACAAGTCATCTTTATTGTTATTGAAATTCATGCACGCAGTTTGTAAGAGACATCACATGCACGCACGTATGTATGTATGCATGCATGCATGCATGCATGTATGTATGTATGTATGTATGTATGTATNATGTATGTATGTATGTATGTATGTATGTATGTATGTATGTATGTATGTATGTATGTATGTATGTATGTATGTATGTATGTATGTATGCATGCATGCATGCGTGCATGCGCGCGTGCGTGTGTGTATGTATGTATGTCAAAAAATTATACTCGATTTGTCCTAATATTAAAGTCACAACTATAACTATTGCAGTAACTTTACATGATCTTTATTACGTTGTACTTAAGTAACCTTTTAACCTGACTGTAATGAAATAATCATTGCGTGGTGACATTTGATGTATACGTACGCCAGTGTAACTAAATACAAACGGGTCTAGATTGGAAATGACGAAGTAACCGTAACCGAGAGCGTACGTGACTTAACCGTCAGTGTACTCGATCGGATAACCTGGAAATGATATTATGTTTATTTGATGGCAACTTGATCATTATCAGTTTCGTATCTATCTTGGTAAGCTAATCTCACTAGTGCCTTAAGCTAATGGAATGAAAGATGTTTCTAAGAGCTCGTCGGTAATACGCAGTACCTAGTGAGAAGAAAAAACTAGAAATAAACCGGCCGCCAAACATTGTACCTCTGTGGCGGTCAGCTTCTAGAAAGTTCTTCCGAAAGAGCTTAAGAGTTTCACCTCTTTATAATRAGCTAGTCTTCTGGTACTTTCGATGAAATTCTCTATCTATTCAAATGCATAAAACAGCCTAGAAGTTTCTAGAAAAATATATCGTACCAATATAGGATAACTAAAAATACATGCCCTTTCTCATGTTCTGTCTCATGCAATGATATGATCTAAAAAAAGCATGCAACATGTTGGGGTGGAACAAATGCGGAACTCCATCCCGTGACCATCACCGGTTCCGTGTCTTAATTGAAACACCAAACTCCGACATCGAATCCGAGGCCGAACTGTGCGTAGTGTGGCAAAAGGTTTCGCATTCCAAAGCCGCTCTAACGTGCGTGCGCTGTAAGTTACTTAGTATATTACACTAAACCCTTACTGTATTATCTTTAATAATCCCTGGTAATCGTGCCGCAAAGAACAGACGAGAACTCTAACGACAGGCCCGACGTATTAAGATATGGGCACCCTGAATCATAGCATTATTATTGCTCCAGCACGTATCCTCGGTCAAGCAGAGTATAATCAACTAATTGAACTGGATGAGGCGGGATAGATTTCATAAACGTGTTGTATGCCAGGAAAAAAGGTTAAGAAACATGGCATTGAGTTATTGATTATGATCCATTTTTAAAAACTCCGTTAGAGCAGATATCAGGAAAGGCATTACAAATACACTTAAGGATAATATGTCAAGGTTGTTATGAATTACACTATTTAAGAGGTGACGTCACTATGATAACTTACAGGGCATGCGCAAGCTATGAAATGGAAAACACAATGGGCGTCACGTTTATTTCTCCATTTGGAGTCTACTTGTGTTGTGATTGGCTACTTTTGAGCTCCATCGGACGAAAGGATGAGATTGGCCACTTTTGTAATGAGAAACCATTTACAAGTTTCAAAACAGTTGGTCATAGAGGGCACTGAAACAATTAATAGAAATGATCGAATTAAAAGAGTTTTTCGGTGCAAGTCCTTGATCCTTTTGCTACGCCCTTCTTGATGCAAAATCTTCTCACATATTAAGTTATTCTATTCACCAATGCCAAGGTAAGTTCTTGCCAACAGAGCCGCACCCATAACCTCCTAACGCCCGATCTAGTATAATTCTGCTTTCGATTCCATTGGCAGGAAGTGCCAGAATCAACAGTGATTTTGTAATCAAATCTTATACAGAGGGGTTCTCTTGGAAGTATTAATTGCATGGTCATCTGGTAACGGATTGAAAATGGTGCTGAAAATGATGATAATTTTAGGGGTAAAATGTTATCATTAATTCCCTTGCGATGAGACTTTTTGAATTTAAATCTGTTGTATTTTTCAAAATATCTTCATTTTAAGACTAAATTAAGTTAGGTTCACTGAATTTGTTTTAACGATTAAGATTTTGGTTATCAAAACATTTGAATGACGTCATAAAGATAATCGCGCGCGCACTAAACGCCTGCGTGGTAGGGCTGTGTGAGAACAATGCCCGCGAACTTCCTTAACTCAAAGTGCCGTGATCGTAGTCGTAACTATCCCAAAATGCATTGTGTTTCACGTAATCATATGATAAGTCAATATTAATAGTCAATTATATAAGAACAATGCCCGCGACAAGACAATATTTTTATTTTTCTCTTGGATTTCTACAGCTTTGCTCAATAATGCTAATCTTTAATGACGTTACTCTTCTTTTCGGCTTACAGATAGAACAGATACAATATGTTTTAAGCACCAGTGCTATGCATTCATATATAATCAGTGATATTGCTTTTTCTTAAATAACCGAAAGATTAAATACGTAGTTTGCTTTGTTAGTCAAATTGCTGTCAAGTGTCCATGATCTCTCTCTTCAACACTCCAAGTAAAACCCTCGTGGTAAACTTTCTTTCTGAAAAATGTATCCCCTCCAAACAAATTTGCACCACAATATCTTCATGATTTCCCCCCAATTATTTCCCAATTTCAATTTGATCCTTGCCCTGACTTAGATCAGCCCAGAGGTTCTTTCAGGGTTTGGAAAAAATCCCCCCCCCCCCCCTTAAAAGGTATTGATAATAAATTTGAAAGGTCCCCAAGATATCCACCCAAAAACCAAGACTTTATTTACGCGCTTGGCCTTCACACCTGCCTGTCCCTAAAATAACAAGTGTCTGCTTACTTCGATCAACACACACACACACGCACACACCAAAAATTAAGATAAACTTGACTAAAAAATTGAAGTCCGTTTATCAAGTAATCCAGAGTCCAGTCGTCAGTGATTATTTTATATTGCAAATATCATAAGGTTTGAGGTTATTACATCAGTCATCTTTGCAGCCATGTTTCCAGATTCTTTTTCCAACGAAGTCGCAATTCTTTTAAAACTTCCATCGATGATATTTGTTTTTGCTTGCTTCCGGTCAAGACGGTAAGCTTCTGTGCTCTTAAGTAAAAGCGTCTCTTGTGTCTCTTCATCCCAATTATTTATCGTTGCAAGCATCTTTCAACCATTATACATAAACCACAGTTTTCATCTTCTGGTATCTCACCACCTCAAACCTCGCAGCCTTATTTGCAGATTATATAAGCTGGCCTACCAATGACATTCTATAAAGCATTTTCAACGACAAGCAAATCTACAGTATAGAGGGCTATTATTGGCTAATGATCTTGTCAATCACATAGTCACTTGTGTTGCTAGGTACCACAGGTGTAATAAGCAGCCAGCGTATGACATGAGATTTGCCATTGACGAAAACCCATGAACACAAGCGAATGATTTGGTTATTTTAAGGTATTCTTCGTCGTTCTTGAGCTTGTTGTCAGGAATGGGACCAATTTCCTGGCCATACCCTCGCTCCTTCTCAAATGCGTACCTTTTGTCCATCAGTCGTGTTGTGGTTGGTTCGAGGTACATGTAGTTCATCATGCAGCAAATCAAGGAAACCAAAAGCCCTAAAGACTGTAGAAAAACATCGATAAATTAATATAAACGAGATACCAGATAACAGARTCAAAAGTAGATTTAGTCAGACGTTTCCAAAGAGGACACTCGTTCTCCCTTCATTCAGTGGCGATATGATGACCAAGAAAGTCATGCATTGAAATCCGGCCACGAGGCTATGACAATCTGTTATATTTATATGGGGATGTGAAAGTGAATTAAATACTCTCTAACGCCCGGCTAACGTGACATTATATCATTTTCAAGTAACCTTAACAACTCTGCGGAAATCCTGGGGTGCAGGTCAATCTTCACGAGCAGGTAAAGGAAACGAATAATCACATTCAATATGCACGGGCAGTTTCCTTTGGCTAATGTCTTAGCTAGTCATTTACGAAATCATGGTGTAACCTTCTGCCCACTACGAGCCAGCTTAGTTGATCTTCAGAACAAACTCAAGGTCAACCAATCAGAATGGAGGATTCAACATCATATTTTGATTAGCATTTCCCATGATTCTGCCAAGAGAACCCATGAAATATGAATTATTCTTTCTTTAAATTGATCGTGAATGCTACTAGTTGAACTCATGGTGGAACTCTAGTTCATTTAACACGAGAAATCTAAATTGTACTCAGCCCCTGCTAGGGAAATGCTAACCAATAATAGTTGACCCATAATCCCTTTAGGGTAACGCCGTCAAGTAAGCTGGAGAGGATGGCTCGGGCGTAATCTCATTTCAGACCATGTGCCATTCCCTAGAGTATCAATTTTTTGTTAAATGGTTCAACATAAGAAGACACATGAAAATGGTGTCAAAAAACCTGGCTATCCGGCAAATACAGACAGCATGCACAAGGTTCAACAAGTTACTTGACAGGTTTCTCCCGTCCTCATCTTTGTGGGAGATGTCATATACACCTCTTTAAAAAAACGTTCTCGGTCGAAGATTTGAGTCTGAAACTTGAGAAGTACATGAATGGCAAATATTAAAGTTACTCTATAGACCCCTTGCATGTGACATTGAATCAGCTCAATTTGGGGGACAAAAACAAAAGAATTTCAATCTCCAGAGAATTGAAAACCTATTGTTATGTCTTCCACATTGAGATGCATTTCGACGTGCTGCAAGGGGTCTCTTGCCTTTTGCAATTGTTTTTGTTTTTGCAAGTAGAAAATTTAAATATTAAGGAAAGACATAGTTCATTTTTGTCTCTTTAATTAGTTACTCACAACATATCTAAATATGCCACCACCTTTGAGAGATAACCTTTCAGAATTCAGATTTCCGACCGACAAGGTTTTTTGAAATAGGTGTATATCATATGCGATTTGACGACATGCCACAAAGTAAAAATCAATATAGTATAGTTCATATTTTGTCTTTTTAATTAGTGCTTCGCAACCATTCATTATCTAAACATGCCACCACTTTTGAGAGATAACCTTTCAGATTTCAGATCTCCAACCGACAAGGTTTTTTTTGACTGCAAAAAGCGTATATCATATGCAATTCGACGACATGTTACAGAGTAAAAATTAATACGGTATTTTAAATAGGAGACCAAAAGGAAACTAAATACTGAGGGAAACCAAGGCGCGCAAAACTAAAAAAATCCCATCTGCTCGTGTTATTTAGTGCGCTATCGTAATCTCAAAWAAACTATTATCTATGATATTCTCTGTCCCTTTCTTCTGCATCTGCACAGCACCTCACAGCCAAGTTTACTCCAAGTCAAGTTCGATGCGGTTGAAATATTTTTTGATATTTGATTAAGCTACTCGAGTTGTTAAGAGGGCAAACATATTAACCAAGCATAATTCAGATCACGTTCCAATGGAAAAAAAGAAACTAAAAGCTGAGATGCATGCAGACCGGTTCTTTGTTGATGCTACAAGACACTGGACTAAATGAAACCTATAGCAAACAGTGAATAGAAGAGGAAAAAATCTACAAAGAAGCCTGCTCGAGAAAAAGTCTTCTTGCGGTGACCACCTTACGTTTATGAAGATAGAATACATTTTCTCATAACTTCATAACTGTGGACTAGTTAAGGACTTCTCTGTAATTAGTCGTGGGGTGCATGTGATGCCTTGCCGCCATGTCGGTTTTTGGTGTTGGGTCACCTCTGTCATGTCAACCAAAATGACGACTACTCCTTTTGTTTTTTTAATTCCATGGATCGGGATGCAAGCCACATCATATACCACTTTAAGGTTCTACTAATACCCCCTAAACGTCTAGATTTACTTACCTGAATCTTATCTTTTCCTTCCCAGTGCTGTATAGGATGTATCAAGCAGTACGTGGCCAAGGTAATAGCAGTCAAACATGCCCCAGAAAAAAAGTATTTTGGAAAAAGTTTACTTTGCAATTCACCAAAAGCATGTCTTCCCATGTTGAAGTACATTGTCACTCCTGTATGGCAAAAAAAAAAAAAAAAAAAAAAAAAAGGGGGTAAAAACGATTTAAAAAGGCTAAAATGTGTTGGAAACTTAACGGTTTCAGTGCGCACAAAATTATGGTACCGTGTACCGCTGTCGGTGAGATGGGCCCAAATATTGTTTCAGGCTTCGATAATATTTACAGGTTCACTTAAATGTCTGTATTGTTATAAAACCATTGGATAAAAAATGTGTGGCATATGATTCCTAGTAGATCCCCATTGTTATCTTAGAGTTTTTCTATACAATTTAAAAAAAAAAGCTTTTTGTGGCTCGCTACTTTGCATCCATTGGCACCAAATTTCAAAACCATAAAAAACTACATTTTTTCTGATAGAACAAAGCTCATAATTGACCGTCACGTGGCACATGCGAGCAAGGTCTGTGGTGAATTACATAACTGAACTACCCTTTTTAAAGAGTACTAACCCGGCGTCTAGAAAAATCCATGTAACCTTAATCAAGCCCCATATTCATGCCAGGAATAAAAATAAGATATATAACATACCAGCGATAAACGTCGCCCAAAACTGTATTCCCAACCACGTTCCAAACGCGAAAAGATGCGTAAACCTTGTTACTGTAGAAAGAATGCTTCCTCGTCGAACTTCTTCAGATATTCTTGAGGACAGGCTGAGAGCAAGCATGAGAACCACGAAGGTTGTTAACTGTGGACATACCCTAAGCGTCATGACTCGTTTCTGAAGCTTACTGTCTTGGTTTTGCGCGGGTTTTGAACTTAAAACTTGATTACTCGACATTTGTTCGCAATGTATCTTGCTTAGTGTAGACAAAAAATTTTTTGCTGATACGCCTCGATTAGCTGTTTATATAGTGAGTGTCTGGGGTCAAAGATTTAGTTTTCGTGCGCAAAATCACAAGTGTCGCCACGAGTGACTGACGCAGCCATAAATAGGTTTTAGGTCTGCTGACATCAATGACTTTTCGTCCCAATGCGTACCTCACGCAATATCACGCCGCAAAGGAAACTCAAATGTCGGTTTGCATGTGTGGGTATATTAGGAGCAGTAGGATGGGGTTATAAAGAGGGAGCCACGACACACTTTTGTGTAGTAGCGGAGGGAGGGAAATGTAAATGATATTTATTTTACGTGGAACATACAGAGTAATTACTCATTCTTCAGAGCCAGAAGATAATGATTATGAATCACTCGATGCCAGATCAAATTGGAACTGATTTAGAACGGAACTTTTATTTGCGGAGAAAAACCGAAAAAAAAAAACAGTTGTTGAGGCAAAGGCTGGAGAGCCATCAAGCAAATCTGCTCACATCGCGGCGTACCTAGTCCGGGAATCGAACCCCGAGGTCGCATTGGATAGAGCCAAACGCTATCAACGCTACGCCACCCGTGTTGTTCCTAACGGATGTTGCATTGGATGTGCAGCAACAAAGTGCAACTAATAGCCAATAAGTCCGGCTTAAGACTTCAATTGTCTACTTCCTTGACGTCATGGTTGCAATCCCTCTTGCACTTTACACTGAGGCTTTATAAGATCTTCCATGAAAGCTTTGCCCGCTTTTGAAACAGGCTAAGATTTCCATCATGCAACTATGGTAATGATTAGTTTTGAAAAAGTTTTTTTTTCTTAAACTGGACCTAAACATGTTGCGATTAGATCAAGATGGATTAAAACGTTTTTGAAGTGTTTTTGAAAGTTTTCAAGCCTGAGAGAAAAAGTGTTTCTCTTCTAGACACGAGAAAATATGTTATCATTTATAGTGGTTTATGAAGCGAAATCGTGACATATCTCTCAAACTATAAATTACCAAGGCTAAAATACATCGGCACAAATATACAAGCACACATTCTTTTAACTTACGTAGTTGAAATGAATTTGTTATAGTTATTGGCAAATAAGGATTACTGTAACAAAGGACGATGCACTGCATGAAGATCGTTTGCGCAAGCGAGTGCGTGAAAGTTCAGCGATACGCCTTGTATAGTTATTCGTCGTTCTTTATACTTTGAGTCGGATTTGTTTTTTGATCTCAGTGTTTGGTCAGTACGCGTGAAAAAATCCCAAGCAAATAAACAGGCCACATTATAATCTAACAACGAAGAGGAGAGTACCGCAGAGTGTCGCAGGAAAAGGGCTGGAGCCAGTATTGATATACTGCGATATCTTTTTCGCTACTCTAGATTACTTCGTACAGTAAAAACAAAAACGATTTTCGAAACATTTGTTCGGTCTCCTTTTGGCGGAAAAAGTGAATTTCGCCTTGAAGAGCTCGATAAAATACTGCCAGACTCCGCGGAAAAATAAATCCATCGCATACTACACCTTAAAGTGCCTATCATGATATAAAAAACATAGACAGTGTGTGGCATAACTCGGTGATTATAACACAACTTATAAAGTTTGAAAAAGGAAAGGTTGCGCTACGAGGTATTTCGCGGAAAAACACGTTATTGCTTTGACATATACATTTTTTATTGATTCAGAATACACTCTCAAGAAGTTCAAATATCAAAGGTCCTGTTTTGGTTTCTGTGTCCCTATGCATTTTATTGTTTTTTTCATAAAATATTTGAAATATAACACGCGCGCTGATTGACTTGCTACCGTGTTAATATCAGAGGACAGAGACAAGCTCGTGCAAAGTAGTTTTAAAATATCTCAATAAAGCCAATATGAAACGCCTGCTTTTGTCTCTGGCTATGCTCCTAAGCTTGCTTCTATCGTGCTCTGCAGCTCCCAAAGTGTTTGTATCACAGTATAGACACCTGCGCAAGCGTCCTTGCCGCTAATATTTTATCCGCGATTTCTTCAAGTTAACAACACTTGAAGTGGTAACGCGAGAATTTCAGTTTTGTTATCAAGAATCTTTCGAAAAACTACAAGGTCAAATCCTCTGACTTTTCGACTCGACGTCGTAGCAAAATCTAATATGTATCTAAACAATAGAAGTGGCATGTCGCGGTGCTGATCTAAAAATACCACCCGTTCATGCGCTCAGTCATTAAACTGAGTTACGGACACCTCGCTGAGATTTTGTATCATATTTTGACCCCTATTTTCACAGTCGTTATTTCACTTGAAAGCGAGAAATATCCTGTTATAGTGAGATGACCTTCCTGTTTGCGCAAGCCATTTGAACACACTTTGCAACATCGTCAAAGAAAATAGCCAACATTCAAGCTATTGTTGTTTTTGCGTCAACTAGATTAAGCTGATAGAAGCGATGGACGTAAGTTAGCATAACCTTGGAAGGAGATCAGTCGCCCTTCATAAGGCCTACAGATGATACAGGACTGGTGTTTCTAGAACAAATGATAATGCATAGTGCATGGCAATTTATTTTGTTGGCTTTTCTATTCACTGAGTTAAAGACCGTTAAACACCCCTCGTGAAACTTGTCTCTTTTGTGTTTCACTAAACGTTTTTAAAGTGTAACGAGGCTCCCCAAGATGGTATGCACGAGCCCACCGTCCTCGCCACCGGCAACGAAGTAGCTGATCATAATATAGATATAAAAGGAATCAAAAAAGATTACATAAAGGACACTACTTGTGATTTCTTTGATAACAAATGTTTATCAGTACCTGATAAATGCATTGCCCGGACAAACTTAGGACAAACAAGGATGGTGGAAATCCGTCAGCGCGTTAATTTTCAGCATAACTCCTTCTCTAAGAGTAGCTAAATTTCACGAGTGCTGTCTTAAAAACCCCTCTATTTGTCGTTTCATCATATCTTGCAACTTTCTGACCAGTTTGAGGCACTGCATGGCCAACTGCAGAACGTAATGTTTTGTATTTCATGTTTTGTTTCTAATCATCGCGGCTACCAAGGGGTGAGTTTATGATAAACTCTACTTAAAAAGATAAATATTATCACTTGATTGCCTCGAGATATGGAAGGTAAGCGATGGTCCATTGAACTGTAGTAAGAGTGAAGATTTTAAATATTTCTCATAATACAAGTATTTTTGCGTGCACCGTGTCAGGCTGTAGGCTACTTCCTAATCTCAGATCAACATAGCATAGAATACTCTAGGTCGCCGCATTTCAGAAAAACAACCCGTGGCTAGTTAACCGTCCTGAGGGAAATATTTCTTATGAATGTATTACTGCATGAACGTTTGAGGCTGTAGGCTGCTTGCCAAGCTCAGATCAATATTCTTGGTTTGCAATCAATCCCAAGAGAGCACAATAACAAAAGGGATGTCCGCCATGTTGGAAGATATAACAAAAGAATTCATTGAAAAATCTTTTGTCAAATTCTTCCAACATGGCGGTTATGACGTCTACTGCAAACGCAGAATAGTCCTTTCAGATCGCCGCCGCATTTTAAAAAAACTTGTTCATGGCCTGGCTACTTTAGTAGTTGAACGCACCGAGAGCGAGAAAGATTACACAAGCAAATCTTTCCCCAACTTTATAAAGTGAATATTCGAGTCTCTAGTTTATTTTGGTTAGGCCTTTCAGTAAAAGTTGCTATAAGTGCGTACTCGTATGCTGGTAGTGAATGTCAGGGTGCTGTGTGTCTAGGGGCAGGACGACCACTTGGACATGACGAGACTTCTTCCTTCGGAACTGCAAATGAAACCGCAATTTTTGAAAAACAGCGCAACGAACCATTGAAATAGTTTTATAAATCCAAGTTAACCATTACCCATTTATGAGAAGGCAGCTTCATTAAATTCAGCTGGGTGCGCAATTTTTTTTTYCCTCACAAATATGCACATTCTATGTACTGATCAGGCATCGTGCCAACGCATTGGGAGTAGGTCTAGTGAATCTCGATCACCGTCATGACCCAATTTGCCAAGCAAAAAAGCAAAGGCTGGGGCCGAAATGCTGGTCATTTATCCTACCCGTGCTATTAATTTTTTAGCCACTTCGCATAGTAGTAAAGCAAGCGGCTATTAGCCTGCGTTCAGYCTGTATAATTTCTCTCGAAACAACATTTTATTTCGAGAGAAATCATACCGGCTGAAGTAGGCTACCGGCTATCGATTCATCAACTGATCGTATATTGTGGGTAAAAGACCGCGCGCAATGAATAGGACTGACTCGGACAAATACAGAAGTTTTTGATTAAAGTGACCTTTACCTATTTGTCTTAAACTAATATATATTACAGGGAAAAGCCCGCCCGCCTAACAAGGCATGCCTCCAATGAGACAAAACTAAACAGTCAGACACGCATAGGGAAATAAGTTGTGTAACCTAATTCTAATGAAAACGGACTTTGTACAGGTTTTGTGACGGCCGCGTCTTTGCTCGTCCGCAATATTTGACTTGAAGAAAGAGCATTTAAAGTCAGCTAAAAGAAATAACAATACCATGCCATGTTGTTGATGCTGTTGCGACCGCTACTGTAGTTGTTAAAATATGTTGTGGTTGTCACACTCGGCTGGTTGCTGTTGTTGTTGCTGCTGTCACGTTGTTTTTCAAATCAAAATATATATATATATATATATATATATTGCGCAAACTTCTAGCCTGAGAATCAGTCTTTAGCAAACTCCACAACAAGCACAGAACTATTATGGCATCCCTATATTAAATTATATTATCAGTAATCGAAACTATTATTTGTTTTGTTTCATTTAACCTCTGCATTGGTCCCACAGCTTAGGTTTTATCCCGCTGGTGCGGTACAAAGGTCGAGAGCTAAAGTCGGATTACTTTTTATCACAATATAAATAAGTGTTGCAAAACGTGATACAAGTCATCTCAGAATTTGAGAAAATTCTGTTCGGCAAGTAAAAAGTTCTGATTTTGAAATATGGAGGAAGATCAGATCAAAAGGATAAATATTTACGAAATTGCAATAACCGATCTTCCTATCTTTCTTGTATGGCTATGAGCTGCTTGCCAACGAGCACGCACTGAGCGACTCTGAATTTACTGAGCACAAAAGCGCTCGAAATTTGGAAAGGTTGAGAGCATCACTGTATGCAACCTCACATGAAGTTTTAGTAGCAGTCGACGGTAGGGAAGGAACTCATCGTGAGCTACATGTAAGAACAGCACTTACAATCACCTGATGAACTGAAGTGCTCTTATCTTATAAATGTACAACATATCTCACTATATTCTTGTTAATTAAATATTTGTTTTTACACAATAAAAACACCAGATTTATCCCTAGGATTCCTCGGTTCTTTGGGAATTCTCCGTCTCTTGATTCTGTCTATGATGACCTCCAAGTTCATCGCCATTTTCAGATCTCCTTCCACAGTCAATAACTCTTGCATATAAGCATTAAAAGGTGAAACACCTCCTTGAAATATCGTTTGCATATTTTCTACAGTCATGGTCAGAACTACGTCTGGTTTTTCCATGGGTGTGGATGTTGCTGTAATGCTGCCTGATCCACTCCTCAGGTCCATGATCCAGGTTCCACCATTTTCGCCGATGACATTGAACTGATACAGACCACCCAGCTCACGGACCAGACTTTCGTCCAAGACACTATGAGCAAACTGTACAAGATTTGCTGGTAGGATATCTGAGTTATCGTTCATTTTGATGGCTTTAAAAGAGGCAGGCTGAGTAGTCCCACCAGATGCTAATAAAAAGTTCATCAGTTGGTGACTGGTCAAAAATCAGGACGGTCATGTGTGGAGGAAGGTGCAGAGAGAGGGAGGGAGAGGGAAGGAGATATGAAAGGTTGCAGGGATTTGGGGGAAGTATGTCAAAGTATGTATGAAAAGATATAACTAGCTAAAAACTAGTGTGAACTGCATCGGTGTTTCTAATGAAGCAGTAATGATGAAAAGGTAAATTATACACCGTGAAAAGATGAAAAAACTTACTGACGTTTCGGACGCTAGTCCTCTGACGAAGGACTAGCGTCCGAAACGTCAGTAAGTTTTTTCATCTTTTCACGGTGTATAATTTACCTTTTCATCATTACAAAGTATGTATGTTAAGGGGAGAAGTTTGAGCACAGGTGTGTTCTATTGAGGTTTTCTCCAGCATTCGTGTTACTGTAACAATCGAAGGTAAATGACCTAAAGGAAGCATTATCCATTCCAAGATTGAACAAAAAACTGGGTCGAATTGGCATTGCATTGTGGGAATATTTAGGTGGCATAATTCCAAGATGGTAACTATTCCTCGGAATGGCTAATGGTACAGTATGGCTTATTCAATTTGAAATCTGATCTATCATGAGTTAGGCCTAGGGCAAACGTGGAACTTTCCATGCACCGAACTTAATTACATCAAAGCTTTATTATCACCTGATATCCATTGTTTTTAATGAGTTCAGTGCATGGAAAGTTCAACGTTTGCCCTAGGCCTTAGACCCTTATCTAAAGGTACACATAAAGGCAATAAATTAAGAGTCCACACATCCCTTGCTTTCCTTACTAAAGCTCCATTTTCTCTCACCTGATGCTAAAAGTCCTGACAGAAGGTTTGCTGTGGATGGATTGGGTCCACCTTTGAACAAGCTCAAGATGTCTACTCCTTCATTTACTGGTGCTTCCCTTAGAACTCGAACCTCTGATCTATCAAAACAGATAAAGAGACAAGTGATCAAAAATTACCTTAAAGACTAAAGAAATATGTTCTTTTTTTTAATTTTTATAAAATTTAACTTTTATAAAATTTAATTTTAAATATTTAATGTGTAGTTCCAAAAATTATCCATACCCCCCTCACGGAGGAATTTTTTAAGACACCCCCCCTACCCYYCAGAAATTCCAATTTTCTTCCATACAAACTCTATAATTTTTGTTCTTTCTCTGACCCCCCTATTCTTCGGAAATTCCAAATTCCTCTGTGGGGTGGGTATGGATGATTTCTGGAACTACACAATTTAAATAGCATAACATATTAAAATGTTTTCCCATTTTACTGCCTTCTCCAGGATTGAATTGTTCAGGCAGGTGAGAGGACAATACATAGTTTGACAGACTTTTTATTGAGACAGTCGTAGAAACAGCCGGCACAAATGAACATGGGCTGTTGTGTGGGACACACAGAATACATATTGTGAAGCATCCTCATTAGAATCATTGTCAGCAGTCATTACCACCATCACCATCACTAACACTACCATCATGATCATGATAATAATCTGTCATCATTATCATCAACAGCCATCATCATTATTAGCAGTCAACATTGCCATTGCTATCACTGTCACCATCACTAACACTATCATCACTATCATCACCATCATGATCATGATCATAATCTATCATCAGCAGCTGTTATCACTAACACTTACACTAACATCATGATCATGATCATGATAATAATCTGTCATCATCATCAGCAGCAGTCATCATCATAATCATCATTTTGTTTGGAAAAAACATGAAATTGTTTGAACTACTTACATTGTTACCCTTTCAACCTCTGCTCCCCATTTCTTTGCCACATCATTCAGTTCATTCTGCCAACAACAAAAAATGTCATAGTATTAATAATATAATATAATTATTTATTAAGTGTCTATCCAGGTTTGCTCTTGGCGCTCTTCCTTATAACATTTAAAATAATAAACAATAACTGCAAATCAAATAAAGAAAAAGAAAAAAAAGAAAAACATAGTAATAATTGCAATAATTGCAAGCTGAAGAAGTATTCCATGCAAATTTTGTCTAAAATTTGACTTAATACTTATGGAATTCATACCTGCATTTGTAAATTTATGAATTTTTTATCAGTTTCAGCTTGTAGTATTGTCTTGGATGCCAGGCAGTTGACTAGCATTGTCTGTGCAAGCATGCGCAAAGAGKGGTTTAGATCTCGTATTGCTGTTTGTGAAAGGACTGGATCCTCTAAATGGAATTGTACATCTGCACCTACTGAGACCCAACCTTCATCTTTGGTTAACACCTGAGACGTTGCCACAAAAGAGGAAAGAAATCAGTTAGGTACTTTTATTAAAATATGTTATATCTAATGATGCTAGTTACTGCACTAACAATCTTTTGATTGTTTTATTGTATATTTTTCTATCTTATTCTGAACTGGGTGGATTTAGGGCTTTGAAACAAAATGACTTAATATGTAATCATAGATGTTATTTCCTCTCTTTTTTAAAGGAGATTCTGGGCAGGGAGGGGGAGTACCGCCAGCCCAGTTATCCTCACCCCCCTTCCCCCCTCCCCATCTGCCTCAATCTGCGTGTTCAGGTTATAACACGATTAGACAAACACATTGGAAAAAAGGGGGTAAATGAATGTCTTTTTCCTAACCTCCTGTGGTGGCACACTGAAAGCTCTTGCTCTCATGTCAATTCTTGTCCATTTGTCCAAACATGGCATTATTAACACAATCCCTGAAATAAAATAAAAAATAACGTTTTAAAATAACTCACAAAATTTTTGCACACTGTTAGGTTATTTTTCATCATCAATAAAAGGACAGACAGATAAGCTGACATCTATAGGCGCACGCTCTTTCTTTGATTCTTTTGATCACTAAAAACAAGAAGTTTTTATCATTTTTGTTATTGTAAAAAAACAAATAGACATCAGTTTTTTTTGTGTCTGTCATCTTATTGACGATAAATTTCATTATTACATTATCAAAGTAGTGTGGATCCAGGAGGCTAGTAAGTCATTCACTCGACAACGCTTCGTGGATCCACAGGGTCGTCCTTCACGAATTTGCAAGATGTGATCCTATTGGAGGGCGCACATGTGTAGAACAATAAAAAACAATAACCCTTCCCAACCCCGCCCCTAAACCTAACCAATCACAGGGGACATTGCAAATTTGTGAAGCCTAACCCAATCCACACTCCTATGAAATGTGATGACACAATTTATTGTCAATAAGAGGACAGACAAACAAAAAACAATATAGGCCTGTTCCAGATGCCACTTTATTCTGAAGCTATAAGTTGAACTCTAGAGCAAGCTACTGTAGCTTGGAGCAATGAGCAATGATACACATGGCTGATTTGAACATCATTTAACTCTTTGCAGGGATGAGATTATGAGAAGTTTTCCATTGATTGATTCATGATGTTTGTCACTACTTGTGAGTATGTTAAAATACACTGAGTCTGAATCAGTGACCAATCTATTATTCACATTAATACATCAATAGCCCTGATGAACTTAACAAGGTTTGCAGTACTAAATAAAACTCGTTGGGGAAGGGAGAAGCAGACGAGCAGTAAGAGGAGCAAGCCCAGAAGATAGGAGGAAGAAAAAGAATATAATGATAGATAGATAGACTTTCCTTACCTGGTCCTTTTGGCTTTAGTAGTCTTCCCAGTCTAAACACCACAGCCCTCTCATAATCCCTTAATACCTGGATACCAGCAATAACACAGTAACCATGATAAGTTATTTACTCTGACCTGCATTTAGTGGGCAGTGATAGGAGAGGTCTTCATTTTTATTAAACTTATATATATCAAGGTTTCAAGGTTTCAAGGTTTCGAGGTTTTTTTATTTCCCAGAATGAGAATTTTATACTTTACATCACTATTAAAAAAAAAATTAACTCGGAGGAGCAGAAGAAAACAACCCAAAAGGGTTAAGAGAATATTTCTGCACCTTGAAACTATATAATACTTTCAAATAAGAACTTACAAGGGGGAAAGTAGCAAACTAAAATAGATTCATAGATATATAGGCCTGGCCTTTCTGTTTTTAGATAAAATATACATTGGAATAGCGATAAAATTTGTTCTGGAATGCCATAATCCTTATGTTTGTACATGAACACTGGCTAATCAGACTAGAACAATAGTTTATATTTGAATTGGTCTCAATTAGGTGTACTCCCCTTTTCGTCTCAATAGACAGCACTAACATGCATTCCTGTCATACACATGTGCGTATATCAATATTGTGTGTGTGCAGGTTTGTTTGTTGGTGGGGCAGTGAGATTGTAGGTTTGTAGCCTCCTATTAAACTAATAAGTTTCTAAAGAACTAGTTAGTATCACAATTCTGATTGGTCGAGAGCCCTCAGCCAATCCCTGATATTGTGTGAACTCGACATGATAAATGTATTATCTGTAGGTTTTCCTACAGATAATACATTTATCATGTCAAGTTTATTCAAGGTCACGCTGTGGTAGCTTTGTTTTCATTCATTATGTGTATTTATTTCCAGAATTATGTACAAAAACATTTATTTAAGGAATCCTTAACTCATTTTCATATAYTTTATGAATAACTCTTGAAATATTTCAATTCTGAATTAAAAATTTTGCGTTTTTCACGCGACATCATGGCGTTCATAATTCTTGTCTCTATAATTCAATGTTCATGGTAATGTTTTTCCAGTATACAAAATGTATAATAAGGCTCGGCTGAGGCAGATAACACAGCCGAGGTCTTGATAATTTACGATATTATGCGATAACCGAATTCAATAATTGCTTATTGTGAGTAAACCTTCCTTACCTTCACACAGAAAAACACTGAGATGRGAAGGGTAAGAACCAAGAAAACAGAACAGATTCCTGTGATTATAAACCCTACAAAATCTTGTTTAACATCTCTCTTTCCATCCACTGCAAGACAAAAATACAACAGAGATAAAGTAAGTAGCAGTATGGCTTCCCTGAACCTTGAAAAATAAAGCAAAGCTCTACAAAATTGAAGAAAAATGACAGGTTAAGAACTAATTTTTAGCTCTTTTTCATCCAGAATCGACCTTCTATTACCGAGTCTTTCGTCTTCATCATGGTAAATAGCGACTTGGTGTTCTGGGATATTGGAGTAAGTAAAATATTTCGGCATTTAAAGGAATAAGTTAGAGAGGAATAAAGAAAGAAAGCGTTAACAAGAAAACTTCAAACCATGGTGGTGGTCTATAAATAAAATTTTACGTATCTAAACTTTGACTACGGGGGAGGGAGGGAAATAAATATTGTCCAAATCGAAAGCGCATAGTAAACAAATCTAATATTACTATGAATATGACTTCAAGAAGCTTTATAAAAATAACTTTCATTTCTCATTTTGCTTAAGACCATTAACCTTTACAATTGCATGTATAATTTTGTTTTTAATTGATTTTTTTGAAAGGACAAAAATATCTACGATACCCACCCCACCCTACTAAGAAATTAATTTTCGGCGGAGATTTTGGTCAGCGTTAATCTTCCAAATTCAAGATGGCGTCCGTATTTCGTCCATGTGTCTCTCAAAGTCTTTCATTTACTCGTTTTCTTTCGCCGATTATTGTTACTACGAGGACGCTAGCTTCACAAAAGGTCTCAGCCGCGTTAGATAAAGCAAGGAACTATGAAGATAATGTGTATTTATTGAACTACAGACCCCCTCCTTCGCATTCATTCACCGAAGCTCTGGCAGTGCTTCGTGCTTACGCTCTCAGTAACTTTGATGAGACCGTGGAATTACACTTGAAGATTAACATGGGAGAAAAAAAGGTAAAGATTGAAAGGAAAAAGACTTCATTAATGGTTGTTTACTTTGCATTTCTGAGAAGAAACTATCTCTACCCCTCCCCTCCCACATACATATCAGAAAAGTTATCAAATCAAACCATAATCTTGCTTTGGTGTGACAGAGTCAAAAGACACTATTT